AAGGTGGTGATGAGCGCGTTGATCCCATTCGGATTGGAGAAAGAGACTGAAGTGCAAACCGATAGCTGCTAGAATATTAGAAACGGGACAATGAAGATGATTGCGTTCCGGAAGCATGAGACTTCGTTTTGCTTCTTCGTCAGCAGTGCTGTTTCCATGAATGTTTGCGTGTCCAGGTATCCAGAGAAATATTACGTGAGTTTGTTGAGGAAGGGAGCAGAGCGTTCGTCGTATGCCGTTTAAAGTTCGGTGGGATGAATTATGGAGAGTGATGAGAGCTTGTAACGACGAATGAGAGTCTGTGCATATGACTGCCCTTTGAAGATTACCTTGCTTGATGCAGAGCAGGGCAGCCAGGGTTGCTGTTAGTTCAGCCGTATACACGGCATCGTAATTTGACAGGCGGTTTGATTTGTGGTAATTATGATGTACGAGGGCAGCTCCTGTGCGACCATCGTGTCGGAAGCCGTCAGCATAAATAAAGGTGTGCTGGTCATATTATCCTTTGAACTCAGCGAAGAGTGCATGCACTTCGGTTTCCGATACGTTTCGTTTTTATGTTTAAACAGAAAGATTACGTTAGGTATAGGATCACCCCAAAAGGGTCGGAGACTGGGGGATGGGTTGCAGGGAATGTCGGGGAGATCGAGCGCTCGCTGCGCTCGAATAACACGAGTGCTGATGGTTGGGTGCTGGAGTTCCGCGTTGGTAAGTGTGCGATTGGGGCGGAGGTGTGCGAGGGAGTTGAGGGAGGGGATATTCGTGTCCGCGAGCAGATTTGGGACCGGGGAGGTGCGAATTGCACCAGTCACTATGCGGAGGGCTGTTTTGGATGGCCTCTAGGGTTTCGACTTTTTTGGAAGAAATATCATCGAAAAGAAAGCCATTGTAGTCTAAGATCGGGCGTATCAGGGAGGTATAGAGGCGGAGGAGAGTGCGTCTGTCGGCGCCCTACTCCCGCCCTGCTATGCATTTCGTTATGTTCAATCGTCTGGCGCAGCGTTGCTTAAGGTCAGCAAAATGAGCATTGCAAGTAAGGCGACGATCTAATGTTATTCCAAGGTCAACTAGTCAACAACTGTCAACTAGAGGGATTATTTCACCCTTAAGATTGAGGGGGAATGGGAGGTTGAACATTATTTCGCCTAGAGAAGATAATTACAGCTGACTCTGTGGGGGAAATCTGCAGTCCCTACCGTGCACACCAGGCGTGAATATATTTTACAGCTAATTGTATATAATGCAGTGCGCGATCGACATTAGCGTGCGTATGCCACAGAGCCAGGTCGTCCGCGTGCAAAGAATACTGAAAATGTGGAGAAATATTATTAGTATCATTGAAAGCATCATTTATCATCACAAGGAAGAGCGTTGGAGATAAGACACTGCCCTGAGGAAGACCGTGATCCTGCGCCGTCGGGGAAGAACAAGCATTTCCGCAACGCACAGAAAACGTCCTATCAGTTAGGAAGTTTTTAATGAGAGCGGCGAGCCGGCCACGAACTCCGATTTCATGTAGTTTAATGAGGAGGGCACTTTTATTCACCATAATTGAAGGCCCCAGGAAAGCGGCCTTTAAATCCACGAACAGTGCTACCGCAGTAGATTTAGTCTGCAATCCGAGCTGAATTGAATCTATAATGTGGGCCAGGCTGTCCGCCGTGGAGCGGCCGGGACGAAAGCCGTTCTGAAAAGGTGAAAGAAGGTGATTTGACTCTAGGAACACCCTGATACGTCCGTTGACCATTCCTTCGAAAATTTTAGCACAGCTAGTTAGAGAGATGGGGCGATAGCTCGAAGGGTCAGAGGGAGGCTTAGAAGGGTTAAGTATGGGGATAAGAGTGCTAAAGCGCTATCAGGGAGGGAAGGAGCCGTTAACCCACATATCGTTGAAAGCCAACAGAAGGTTGGTGAGTCCAGACCTAGTAAGATTTCTAAAGAAGGGGCAGGCTAACTGGTCTGGACCGACAGAAGTGTTTCCGCACTTACTGATCGCAAGGTCCAATTCATAGGGTGTGAAGAGTACGTTGAATGTCTCAGTGTTAGCAGACGTGAAGTTGAGTGCGAGCAGTGTGGCATTAAATGTGTTAGTGATCTGTGGGGAATATTGCCCGGATGATGATACACGGGCAAAGTGTGCGGCAAATTTTGTGGCGACTTTGAATGGGATGATGTAGTATTAATTGCTGACTACAAGGTGTGGGGTTTTATAATGTGGCGTGCGTTTGTTTGTGAAACACCGAATCAGTGGCCATATTTTAGATTGAAGGTAAAGCGGTTCAACGTATTCGAAAGTTGTTCCCAGCTTTCCTGTTTTGCGCATTTAATGATTATATCGGCTTGATGTTTAGCTCTGCGAAACTCCTCTTCATGAGCTATGCAAATGCAATTACGAAAGGCACGCATGGTTACAGTCTATACGCAGCCGCAGGGCTACTGCGCGCTGACACTCATCGTTCCACCAGGGCGGATGTTTGTGCCCTGGTCGACGATGAGTGTGTGGAACGAACTGGTGCGCTGAGGCTAAAATAGTGTTTAGAAATGTAGGGAGGTCGGGAGTTGTGCCTGAAGGGTGTGCCTCATCTATACAATTTTGGGAAAATGCCCAGTCCGCTCTGCGAGCGTTCCATCGGGGAAGAAAATTGAAGTCCGTTTGCCTTGATGGGACCTCTAAATTTATGTGGATCGGGTAGTGGTCACTAAAAAGCGTGTCTGATCGAACCTTGTGCGTAAAGAGTGGTGCTTTGCGTGGTGTTGGTAAGGATAGATCTATAACAGAGTATGTCACTGTGCCTCCGTGGTGATGTGGATGCGTAGTTGTCTCAGTGTTCGTTGATACATATGAGGTCATGAGTGTCCATAAGTGTGTGTAAAACCCCCCCTTGCTTGTGTCGCGCTACAATCCCATGCGCGATGATGGGCGTCCAGATCCCCAAGAAGAAGACAGGGCGAGGGAATTTGTGCGAGTAAGGCGGAGAGATCAGCTGAGGAGACAGGGCTAGTGAGATTTGTATAGTGAGATAGAGTGAGAATGTATATGGAAAGAAGAGTAAGATTTAACTGTGCTAATTTTTCGTTTATTGCAACTGTATTGAAATGAGCATTAAAATGAACTTGACGATGCAGAAAGGTTATTTGAGACAAACAAGGCCGAACCGCCTCGGCGCGGGGTTTCGTTTACGTTACATGTGTAGAGGCAATAACCGTTGATCTTAAAGCTATAATTAAAATAATCCGAGTCGTCAAATAGGGTCTCTTGAACGGCGGCTATCAATGGTTTGTTTTTTGGTCACATATTCCTTGAATTCTGCCCAATGGGATACCAGAGATCTCGTATTCCATTGGAGCAAGAATTCACTGAACTGGGGATTCATTTAGGGCAGGGAGGGAGACCATCCAGCGGAGCGGCAGTGAGAGAGCGACCGAGGGGCGCGACGGCGGGAGCGCGTAACGGGTCGGGCTCGGCGTTCGACTGGGGGACTGGCCCGGGGGGTTGGCGTCGGGGGGCGCGCCGGCTGAGGCATCGGATGGGGCTGCTTGGGACGCTGGCGCGAGTGGAGTGGACCAACAGCGACGCGTTGGGGTGGGAGAGAGGCTCTCCAAGTTTGGTGGGGCGGGTTCCTGCTCAGGGAGGCTGGCAGCCGCCGGGTTCGCCGTAACTGGGTCGGCTGGCGCGGGCTCGATCGTACGCCGCACTGGACGCGGGTGACCCGCTGGGGAGGGGCGGCGTGCTGGGGAGGAGCGTTGTGCTTAGGCACAACGCCGGCTCGGTACCTCAGGCTCCTCAACAGGACGCGGAGGAGGGAGGGGGCGCCGCCGCGGAGCTGGTGTTGGGGGAGGAGGAGGACGAGGGTGCGCTTCCTGCGGGGTGGGCCACTCCTGAGGCTGGAGCATTCGGACGGGTGCATAGGCCGCTGCCTCTGCCTGCTGCTGGCGCTTGCGCTGCACATGCCAAGCGGGACAGGCGCGGCGGTCCCAAGCTGCGTGCGGGCCTTTGCATGTGGCGCAGCGCGGGTTTTCCGCGTCACACTCCCGCGTGTGATGGGGATCGGCGCAGCGGCCGCAGGTCGGGCGTGCAGCCCGGCAGGTCCGGTCAGTGTGGTCGAACCGTTGGCACGTGCGGCACAGCTGGGGAGGAGGGACCCAGGCCTTTACCGGGGCCATGAGGTATTCGCGGTGGATGGCAAGTGGGAGCTTTAGCCCCCCCCCCCAAAAAAAAAAATCGCAGGCGGACGAGTGGGTTGGGCTCCATGCCGGGACGGCGGGAGGGCAGGCGTATAACCTCGCACACCCCCTGCTCGGTCAGCTCCTCCAGTACTTCGTCGTCCGACAGCTCGGTGAGCTCCGGGCTGTAAGCGACGGCCTGGATGATGTTGAGGTGGTCTGCGATGGTGGCTGTGACCGCCCGCCCCAGAAAACTGCTCAATTTGAGCAGAGCCTCTGCCTGACGTTCCGAAAAGCCCTCACTAGGAGGACTCCCAAGCGGAGCGGTTTGGCTACATCCACCTCGCCGGCGTGGAGATCAACGCACAAAACTCGGCCCCTCCGGAGGGGAAGCGGGGGGGGGGGGGGGGGTAAGCAACCCCCTCGCCAGGCCGGTCGCCGGGGGGAAGGGAGATGTTGATGACATCTTTGGGCCTTAACCTTAAGTTAACCTAAATTAACTTATGAAATAATTATTACAATGACTTAAAACTAAACAATACAATTCCGACACACATTGAGCTGTCGCGAGTGCAAGTGCGGATCGGTTACCCGCCCCGTTGTCCTTACAGCGACTGTAGGTGGCAGCCCTTCCTGGCGACGGGAAGGGACGGAGCCTAAATTATGGCGCGAGGACGGGGCGCGGAAGGCGCATTTATGAACTGCTGTTTTGAAATAAAAACAGGCGAGACGGAATACAGTGAACGCTACCAGGGCAATGTGTGGTGGAATTTTAACAAAAATACCACCACCACAATACCCCACAACAAAAAAACTAACACAGAAACGGAGCAAGGCTGAAACACGATCGCCGCAAATCACACTGCAAACCGAAAGGGCAGTTTTGTGAATGTTGGTGACGTATATTTCATTTCATCCGCGCCACGTAAAGGGCACTTAATATAAGACCGTGTAGTGTTGGCGATGAGCAGGGAGCACAGGGGCTGCATTAGATATGTATGATTGTGTAGTATTGTAATGGTGGATCGTCGGTATTTGTGTCATGCACAAAAACACTATATTAATGTGGTTGCTGGCAGCCGGTTGTGGCTGTTCTGGAAGACGCCCCAATGTCCTAGTATTACTTGTTGATGACCTAGGGTATGGTGATGTTGGATGTTATGGCAACTCGACGATACCTACCCCAAATATCGGTAAGCGCGAATTTTCTTCAAAACTGCTGGTGTGTCTTGCAAGAATTTATTTTTATGTCAGTCCTAAAATATCAGTGCTGTGCAGACCTTAATCCACCACCCCAGTGGAGTCATGGAAGTTTTAACAGTATGTTCTGCAGTGGAGGTCATGAAAAGGCATCAGATGTGATGAAATAACATACAACTGTTGGTGTGATTCTCAGTAGAAAAGACTGCCTTAGACATCAAAATGTCTATTTAGCAGTCATGCTTCTCAATACATCATTGATTGTGCCTTGGAACATTTTTATAATGTTGAGGTACTGCCAATCTATCTGCATGAAATTGCCACTTGTTGTTCTTCAAACTCATGGAGAGATGGCAGCTATGGCTGGAAGTGTTCACTGAGCCAAGTAATTGTTATGTGCTTATGTGTTGATCCCATGGTGTTCTCGCATATCTCTGAGTTTAAGATGTTTACAAGTCCAACTTTGTGTATTACATGGAAAATATGCTTCCTGATTCAGGTTTGGACAGATTATTCTGCATTGTTTTAACAGGCAGTGCCTAAATCAACATTGTTTTAATCTGCATCTTCTGAACAACATTGTTGGAATCAGATAAATAGAAGTCTTAAAAACAACCTGTGCTTAGGTTTGTACACAGTTAATTCCAAAATATTAGCATGTGTTGCCACATAATGCACAGCATATGTGCAATGCTTAGGATGCAGTCATGGCTATAATACAATGGATTGCTGTGGTCTCGGGTCATGCCAAGAAGTGCTAAAATCCTTTTAAATGGCAAGTGGAAGGCATCTGTATGCCTCTGATTATGTCAAACTGAACAAGGAAATATCTCCTACTTTTTATACTGTTGCCCTGTTATAATTTTGGCCCTCAAATGCTAATCCAAATAACCCAATAATTGAGGCAGTGCATTGCACTTTCTCTTCAGAATGGACTGTGGGCCAGGCACAATACTTAGTCACCTGTGAACACTGGACACATCCTTGTGTCCCATCCAATGGTGGATCCAGCTGGGGGCATGCTGTTCCTTGGGTCCCAAAGGGGCCCATAACCAGTCAAATTGATCCAGTTTTTAAACACATCTACAAAAGTTGAATGAAGGTGCCTGCATGCAACCAGAAAAGGTCACAAGAGAAAATGAAAAGCCCTTTAGCAGATAGCAATAGTTATTCACTGATCAAGAATGTGGAATCTGTGGAGGTTTGAGGGCTCATTACACTGTACAGTAGGGTGCGTTATCAGTAACAAAACCAAGTGAGACAAAGAAATTCCTTGGTGCTAGAGCCCAGAAGTACATAGTGTAGCAAAAGCTCTACCCAAAAACTTGAAGCTGCATGACCCACAGCAGTCGATGCACCCCAAAATCCCTCCCCAAAAACTTGAATTCGCGACGGGCGGGCCGATCGAAATATCGTTGCAAACCGGCGCCCGGCGTTGCGGTCACCATATGCTGGGCAGTGTCAGCTGCCGCGGGTAACACCAAGCCGTGGGCGGCGAGCGATTCAAAATGGCTTCGCGTGTGGAAGCGATGCTACCGAGAGCTTCGTAAGCCATCATACGAAGACGTCCTGGTCTAAGGTCAAATATACCAATCAGGCATTGGCCGATTGATTGCCATGTGACAGAAACCTTATGTGTTGTTTAGTGGTGGACGGGTGCGTTGGTTAGTACTGCTTTAGGCTTTCATTGCTGTAAGGCAACTCACACGCTGAAAACGAAACCATGCATGTCATACGACTCAGAATGTATTACCTGGTGTACAACTTAATGCATATGACAAGGCCTACAGTCTGCACCAAGGGCGTGGAGGGGGGTTAGGGTACACCCCATGCACATCTTGCTCCTGGCCGAACCTGCGTATTCGATGCACCGGCCCAAACAGGAGCTGCTCATTGACTGGAAACCCGAAACGAGTCTTCGCGGAGGTCGCACGGTAACAGAAGTACCGTTGCAGGTGGGCTCTACATATTGCCGAAGCTTCAGCTCAAGCCCCAGACGTTTTCGGCAGTGTGGCGCTGGTCTTACTCTACGATGTAGCGCGTGCCCGGGCACTGCTGCACTAGCCTCTGCCACGCTGGTTGATACGCGGCGCTGCCGTCCCCATTCTTTGGGCTGCACGCCTCCTATTTTCCTGCTGCCGTGCTGCTGAACCACCAACATATTGCATGTTATTTGCATATTGACGAATTAAGACATAAGGCCTAAAGATTCGAGCGATTGTATAATGGATTGAAGTCGGAACGGGAGTCTGATACTGTCGAGGAGTGATTAGTTAACTACCAGCTTACCTTCAGAGCAGATCTTTCTTAGAGTTGACGTTGGGGGGGAATCTGGCGTTGCCTGTGATGAGGCCATATCGTGTCTATTCTCCCATCTCCGCCGAACACACCTCGGTGACTGTGCACACGGTCTTCTCCACCGCCGGGATGTGAAGCGGATAGGGCGGGATGGCCAGCGGAACCTGCGCTTTGTTCCGCAGCTCACCGTCGCTGATGTCTCGCAGTGGAGGCTGTGTGGCTGGTCCGCGCTAGGAGATCAGTTCGGTGTACCTTATGGCCTCGAAGTTTATCGCTGGGATGGTGAAGACCCTCGACTAGCCGCTCACGCGCGGTGCGATGATCCAAACCGCCTGTCGGCGGACCACACGGTTCTCGTCCGGCACTATGGCCAGCGGAGTGGCCCAGTGCCCATTGCACTGGGGGACTGGCTGCACCGTGGCAGTGTATGCAGCGGCAGCTCACGGAGCAGCGCGATGCTCCGGAACAAGTTGCGTGAGCCAAAGTCGCAGCTGTTGGTATGCCGGATGGGGAACCACACCGGCACATAGTGGCCAACACCGTACTGGACGAGGTCCTTGCGAGAGCTGCTGGAGGTCTGTAGAGATGTAAGCTGGGAGCAGGCGAGAGGTCTGTGCAAACCATATGAAACAAAAACGAATAGATTACGGCATTAGGTCATACGAAAGTTTTGGTGTCTCGTTGGTGATGTAATTGTGCCGATGCTCAGAGTCCTTAAATGTAACGGAATACCTCACAGGAAATATACTAGTAAGCATGAACCAACGAGCAAATGATTTCACATGCTATTGCACATCGTATGATTATGAGTAAATGCTTAACAGTGAGCGCATGAAATACTAAGTTAAATGTGATAAAGTCGAAAAATTCATGGCTATGAATTCGAAGATAATGCGTTTTAATATTTATCTGGCATAGTTCGGTGGTCCATTTGCCGCTGGGCTGTTGCGGCCCGGCCGGAGTCGTTTTGAACGCCGGAGACTAGCAGATACAGCAGCTGCTAGTCGGTGATCAGCTGCTGGATCAGGTCGAACGGCAGGTTTAGCATGTGCCCTGGCATAAGCTCGAATGCCACAACGTCTCTCCCAAACCTGTCCGGCGCAGGTCTTGCCGATGGGTTCAGAAAAAGATTTCGGTCCTGTGGTCGTGCCGTCCAGGCTCAGTAGCAGGTGGCGGAGGTTGATCTCGTTGCCGTGAAGCTGGCAGATGAACAAATGTATGGATGACTCGTTGACCAGCTCAAACAGCCGGAACACACCGCCTGTCGTCCCGGTGTTGACGGCCGCGCCGTCGCAGCCGAGCACATTGGCGCAACCGTCGCACTGCACGCTCACGGAGTGTAGCTCGTTGAGCAATTGCAGAGCGAGGCCAGACTCGGACGTGAAGTGAGTCATGTAGCGGCTACCTGGCTCAGCGGTGACAACCACGTGTTTTTCGACGGCATTCGCGTGGCTTTCTGTGGGTCATGTAGGTATTGTCTTCGCGGCCGTCGAAGTGGAAAATTGTCAAGCCTGATCCGTAGATTGATTCAGCATTTTGATGAACTGTCTCTTTTCTAACTCTGTCTCTTGCGCGCCATATCGTCTTAGGATCTACGATACTTGATTTCAAGCAGCCAGTCCGTCTCTGCTGTCGTGTTGGAAGGCGTGGATGATAGCAGCAGCGGCCCGGTTTGAGCTACCGTTGCTGTCGACCGCCAGAGCGGTGTTAGTCTGACTGTTTACGTTGCGATCTGCAGTGACAGCGTCTCATCTGGAATTAACAATCGGCGTCCTCGCCACTTACCATATACGGAGCTGCATCAGAAGCCGTTATTCGTTATCCGTTAAACCGTTATCGCCCACACAACAAGCATATAAACTGCAAATCATCATCGCAATAATGCCTGAATAGTCGTAACCTTGGGCTTGTCCCGGTCCGCTGGAGCATTTTTATGGTTAAACAGTTTTGTTTGTTACCAACAATTTAACTTTTTACAAAAAGTGAATTAAGCAGCTGCTTAACAATGATATGCCGGTGTCCTTCGTGATATATATATATATATATATATATATATATATATATATATCTTTCGTGCTTAACCCACCAGGTACAAGTAGCGTGGAAAGTGGCAAGACTGAGAGTTGTTCAAGGATGACGCCAGCGTGTAAAATAGGTGGCGCTAGTGTCGAATACAATTATCTTGGCCTGTCGGAGAAAAACTGCTCCCGCTTCACGCATATCTACATTGGTGGCAGTGCGGCAGGCCTGAAAGTCTATTACTAATCTGTGTGCCAAGGAAAACTTTGTCTCAGTTGATTCCAAAAGATTCACCCCTCGATGACACACCGTACTGTCCAGGCAGCCTACACTGATGCTGGGGTCCCAATATGTCTACTTATGCGATATACTTTACTATGATATGTTTGTTATATATCTACCAGGTCACCATGATTGCTAAGGACCTTTCCACACTGCCCTTGATTTCTCTGCATTTGCCTGGAAGGTTGTATGTTGCTGTCTGGTCCCCATATGCGAACCTGCTGGGGCACTTGATGTTGCTTGAAGGCTCCGCATCGGTCTTGCCCACTTCATACTTGCTTAAAGGATCCTACACTCTTGCTGTCATGGGGTCTATACATTCATCTTCCAATGAACTCCTGATCGCTCTGGGGCCTTCCACTCTGATATTGGCCTTGTTTACTGAGAGGACCCTGCTCTCTGATTGGGGTGCTATATTTTAACCTACTGGTGCACTCACAAATGTTCAGGGGTCACCACATTGATCTTGGGTTTTCTGGCTTGTTCTGAGGACCCCACACTGCTGACAGAGTCTCTTTGTTGACCTGCCACGGCACCCTGGATCGCTTAGGTGCCGAACCCATTGGTTTATTGGTATTGGGCTTTCCCATTTGGAGAGGTCACTGCGGTGACGGATGACCGGTGACGGGTGACTGGAAACTGGTAACGGTTGTGTGGGGGCCGGTGAGGCGCGGCTGACGCGGTGCGACCTCTCCGCCAGACGGCCTGGCGCGGGACGGCATGCGGTTCACCCAGTCGCTGGCGGCGGCCGCCACTTGCACGCCGTCGAGGGCGGCTTTGCTGACGGCGCGCTACCCGATCCGTCAGGGCATGGTTGCAGCGCCATACGGCCAAGATGTGATCTTGTTTGTGGCGCAGCGCGGCGGTCTGCCCGACACAGAGGTCACGCTGGCCAAGGTGAGCGGCGGTTTGCCTGACACAGAGGTCACGCCGGCTGGGGTGAGCGGTGGTCTGCCTGGCACAGAGGTCACGCCGGCTGGGGTGAGCGGTGGTCTGCCTGACACAGGGGTCACGCTGGTCAATGTGAGCGGCGGTCTGCCCGACACAGAGGTCACGCTGGCCAATGTGAGCGGCGGTCTGCCCGACACAGAGGTCATGCTGGCCAGGGTGAGCGGTGGTTTGCCTGACACAGAGGTCACGCCGGCTGGGGTGAGCGGTGGTCTGCCTGACACAGAGGTCACGCTGGCCAATGTGAGCGGCGGTCTGCCCGACACAGAGGTCACCCTGATCAAGGTGGGTGGTGGCCTGCCCAACAGAGGTCACGCTGGCCAAGGTGAGCGACGGTCTGTCCGACACAGAGGTCACGCTGGCTAAGGTGAGTAGTGATCTATCCTGCACAAAGGTCACGCTGACAGAGTTGGGTGGCGGCCTGCCCGACACAGAGGTCATACTAACTTAGGTAAGTGGTGGTCTGCCCAACACAAAGGTCATGCTGGCCAGGGTGAGTGGTGGCCTTTCCGACACAGAGGTCATGCTGGCTAGGGTGAGTGGTGGTCTGCCCGGCACAGAGGTCACCTTGGTCAAGGTGAGCGGTGGTCTGCCCGACAAGGAGGTCACGCGGGCCAAGGTGAGGGCGGCCTGACTGACAAACAGGTCACGCTGGCGAGGGTGAGCGGCGCCCTGCCCAACCTAGAGGGCACGCTGGCCAAAGCGAGCAGTGGTCTGCCCGACACAGAGATCACACTGGTAGAGATGAACGGCGGTCTGCCCAACACAGGAAACTTTTTTTGAAGATGTATGTTGCGGACGACATAGTGCATCAGTAGTAACTGGATAAGAGGCGCCGTTTTTTTAGGTTCTTATATGAGGTGCCTATTATAGTTATTGGGTGTGTCGCATTGGTCCCGCCCGCGCGCCATTAAGTAAAGCTGTCCACACACATGCCAGCAGGCAAACCTGACCAGCAGATGGCGGTGGACCCGATCAGGTCGATGTGGGCATGATCGAACCCGCCGGCCGGTGGCGTCCAGGTCGCAGCCGGATAACGGGTGTGGCGGTGTACCTTAGCGCGCTGACACGGCACGCTCGGTCACGGATGTCCTGCACGCCAGACCAAACCACTCGCCGTGACACCAACTCCTGTGTGGCACGGATGGTGTGGTGTGGCACATCGTGGAGATGGCCTGATTTCTATAATTCCGTGGTAGTATGACACATACCGTCTGTTGCGTAGGATGCAAGTCGAAGTGCACTAAAAGAATATCATGGCTGGCGCGTTAAACACATTAAATGCATAAATACATAAACACATTAAATGTGTTTATAACGAACGAAAAGGTAAGGTAGAGAACAAATGGACAGGCCCTATAAGAAGTGCGCCTCTTTCCCAACGTTATTCAAAGCCACTTGAGTTCCTATGCTGATTGATTTAGAAACTTGTGAAACGAACAACAAGGCAGCTCTGATATTGAACTGAATTATTTCCAACTCGTTCAGTACAAAGGTGCACTTCTGACATTGCTGAAAACCTGCGCATAGATTTTCAAAGCCTGGTGCTATTCGCCGGATGCCCCCCCCCCCCCCACGTCCTCACGCACACGCGCACGCGCACACGCACACGCACGCGCACACGCACACGTACACACACACACACACACACATACATACATACATGCACACACAGACACACACACCGGCGCGTGCGCACACACGCAGACGCACAGCGCTGACCTGAAATGCGGATTCCTTTGCAGGTTCTTGTGAACGAAGGCTACAACACATCCTACATAGGGAAATGGCACCTAGGCGTCAGTTGTGAGACATATGGCGACAGCTGTCACTCGCCCAACAACCATGGCTTCCAGTATTGGTACGGAATGCCGTTGACCAATTTGAAGTGAGTTTATACAACTTTGTCCGCGATATGTTTAGTGATGCGATTTTCATATTGGTTATGGCTCCTGGCATCGACGCCAGGAGGCATCTTGCCCACGTGCAGTCCCTGTCAATACAATTACACAAATGCATGGTCGCACGTATGGTCGCTTGTTGTGCTATGACTTTCTCGAGTGATGTCGGTCAAAGTGTGAGTCTGGCCATGTTTGGGGCTTGGGTCCGGCAAGGTGCTCCTGGAAAAGCTTTTTTGTGGGTGAGATAATTGCAATAATAGGATCGTCGTAGGTTCCACACGCCACCACACATGCCACGTCGAACACATGCCATTACGCATGCCTAGCTTAGCTCATGACGTGAGTCGCCTGCCTAGGTATACCTAGGTCATCGCTATTACGTGGCGCACTGAAGCCTCTCTACGTTCTACAGAATTTCCGCTGAGCTGGAAGCTCTTTGCGCGGGTTTTGTTGTCTGTCACTGCAAATCGTGCTTAGTGATCGAATCGTGCTTAGTAATCGTGCCCCGAACCCTAAGCCATGTATGCAGTCGTTAAATTTGTGTCCTTACAGGTGGCTATCGTCACATGCAGTCTCCCACTCTGGCAGGGACTTCGGTGACGACGGGACATCTGTCGTGACCGCCATGCTTCCGAACTTTTTCCCCGTGATGTACGCCGTGCTGGCCGGCTCCTGCATGGCTGCCGCGGTGCTCCGGGGGCGCTCCCGGTGTCTCTTCTGGCTCGCTCTGCTCACCGCCCTGCTCGCGTCCGCCACAATTCCCCTGGCGTCAAACGTCAAGCTCATCAACTCGCTGATCATGAGGAACGGCGAGGTATGTGAGTCGTGTTGACTTCTGTAGCATGCGCCATTGTTGTCCCCGAAGTCGTGTTGATTTGGGCACGTCGTTGTTAAATAACAATGTTTTGTGTTGCCAGGTGCAAAAGTATTACTCACGCGAGTCGGAGTTACGTTAAGTCCGTAATAACTTTCCGTCAGATGAGTCCATGATGATTTTCCAACCATGAGTGAATTGGTGAAGTCCGCGATGTCCAGCGATAAGGTCATTGTACTAGCCAGCATTTTGTTTTTCATCTGGCCAGCCGCCCCGAAGCCCTAACCTTGCATTGGCGACGACTCCAGGCACCTGTGCGTTTTAGACACCGTGCAACAGCGACTTAAGTTATTGCTGCGTGTGTTTTCACATGTTACACCATTGATTTGCCACGTTCGATGATAAAACACTGCATATGTAATACGCTAATTGGGCTAGAGCACGCCGTACGGCGCCGCCCGGTGGAGAGCTGCCGCGCGGTCCGACACGGCGGTGGGTGAGGAGGTTGGGGAGCTGCCGCGCGGTCTGACACGGCGGTGGGTGAGGAGGTTGGGGAGCTGCCGCGCGGTCCGACACGGCGGTGGGTGAGGAGGTCGGAGAGCTGCCGCGTGGTCCGGCACGGCGGTGGGTGAGGAGGTTGGGGAGCTGCCGCGCGGTCCGACACGGCGGTGGGTGAGGAGGTCGGAGAGCTGCCGCGTGGTCCGGCACGGCGGTGGGTGAGGAGGTTGGGGAGCTGCCGCGCGGTCCGACACGGCGGTGGGTGAGGAGGTTGGGGAGCTGCCGCGCGGTCCGACACGGCGGTGGGTGAGGAGGTTGGGGAGCTGCCGCGCGGTCTGACACGGCGGTGGGTGAGGAGGTTGGGGAGCTGCCGCGCGGTCCGACACGGCGGTGGGTGAGGAGGTTGGGGAGCTTCCGCGCGGTCTGACACGGCGGTGGGTGAGGAGGTTATATGTCTTTCGGTATAGAAATAGCGGGGATGGTCAGCGCATGTAAGAGATGGTACGTCATTTTGCGTAAAGTAGCAAGAAAATGCATTTAATGAATATTTGGGGCATTTCTTCGGCTACTTTATACGTCCAGTGCTGTTCAGCTGGCCGGTCGCAGTCAGTGATGCGACGTGTGTTAGGTGGCCAACATTTTGCAAGCCTAGTTTACGGCTCCACCACCGCCAGCATTGTCGCTTGGTTTCCTCGACTGGTCAACAAAGCCGACTCGCATAGCTCATTCACTCACATTCTACACGATGTAGTTTCTTAAATCTTTTAACGTGGGCAGTTTCTGAAAGTGTGTGCGCGCCAAACGTCTTGTGGTTTAGGTAATTTCAAATGGTAAAAGTGGTTTGTAGGATATTAACCCGTGCTGGTGTGAAGACTGCCTCGTTCACCAATACAACGGTTGGGAGTCATGCATTAATTGGCATTCATCAGCGCCTATTTATTCTGGGGACGAGGATTAGTACCTTATTAGTGCCCCATTTCCGTCCGCCAGCTGTTCATTCGATGTATTCGTTGCATGACATTGCCCTGCATGCGATCCCCATGTGTTGAGTCGCGCCCGCTGGTCGGCGTCTGTCCGATCAGCACGCCGTAGTGTCTGTAGCGGTCTGTGGCTGTCTCCAATGACTGGTGTTTGATGTGTTGAGTTGTGCTCGCTTGTCGGCGGCTGTCCGATCAGCACGCCGCAGTGTCCGGAGCGGTCTGTGGCTGTCTCCAATGACTGGTGACCGATGTGTTGAGTCGCGCTCGCTGGTCGGCGGCTGTCCGGTCAGCGCGCCGTAGTGTCCGGAGCCGTCTGTGGCTGTCTCCAATGACTGGTGTTTGATGTGTTGAGTCGCGCTCGCTGGTCTGCGTCTGTTCGATCAGCACGCCGTAGTGTCCGGAGCCGTCTGTGGCTGTCTCCAATGACTGGTGACTGATCGGCCAGAGCCAGTGTCGCCGCCCCGATTTCAGACGTCTTCGTTTACATCTGCAGGTGGTAGAACAACCAATCAGGTTGGTCGGGCTCACCCAAAGATTTGTCGCTGAAACCAAAGAAAAGCTGGCCGAATACAAGCAACAGAATCGCCCGTTTTTCCTTCTGCATGCGTTCTCAAAGGTAAGCGATGTGAACGCTCGTTTGCGCTTACGTAGAGCAGGCCCGGTCAGACAGTCCGCCCCTTGACTCGTGATGCCGTAGCCTGTCTAAGAGCAATCGTCGTTGCGGTCTTCCTCACCGTTGTTGTACCATTGTGCAATATTTCTGAATGCTCACTTGGTGTTGGTTGCCGCGATCAGGGCGAGTATGCGATGCGTGCGGCCTTGGTAGTGGATGCAGAGCCTGGCTCTGCGCGATGGATTACCCGGCTGCGCGGGCGCCGGTTTTGTTCGCTCGACACATACCGAGCTGGCCGTCGGCCCGTGTGTGCGGCCCGCCCCGGTCAGTCGGCGTCCGGGCGGAGCGGCCGTGCCAGCGCCTGCGCCCGACCGGCAGGTGCACACGGCCCTGGCGACGGTACCCGAGTTCCGCGGCCGCTCGCGGCACGGCCTGTACGGCGACAGCGTGCTGGAGCTGGACTGGGCCGTCGGCGAGATTCTGGCAGAGCTGGACCGGCTCGGGCTGGCCGACAACACGCTCGTGTACCTGACCTCCGACAATGGCGGACACCTGGAGGAGCGTGGCGTCGCCGGCGACGTCCAAGGCGGGTACAACGGCCCACTCAGAGGTACGCATGACCCGCTCGAAGGAACTAGGTACTGATTGCGCAGTGTACCGCTCAGAAGTACTGGTGAGAGAACGGCTTGTTCGTAGCCCATAGGTACTGGAGAGGCTATGGCCCTCTGAGAGGTACCGGTGACCTGATGGGCTGCTCTCTGAGAGGTACCGGTGACCTGATGGGCTGCTCTCTGAGAGGTACCGGTGACCTGATGGGCTGCTCTCTGAGAGGTACCGGTGGCCTGATGGGCTGCTCTCTGAGAGGTACCGGTGGCCTGATGGGCTACTCTCTGAGAGGTACCGGTGACCTGATGGGCTGCTCTCTGAGAGGTACCGGTGACCTGATGGGCTGCTCTCTGAGAGGTACCGGTGACCTGATGGGCTGCTCTCTGAGAGGTACTGGTGACCTGATGGGCTGCTCTCTGAGAGGTACCGGTGGCCTGATGGGCTACTCTCTGAAGTCCTATATCACGACGGGCCGCGTAGCGGTGCCGGGGCACGTTGGGTGCATTGTAAGTGCCGACTCTGGTGGGGGAAGGCCCGGGGTACGAGGAGGCATAATGGGTGGCTCAGACAAGCGGGGAGGAGACGTGGTTGCGCTGGCGTACTCGGGCTGAGACCGCCGACAAATGACCCTGCTGGTGACAGGTTTGCGGTTTTAAGTGAGTCGCACCATCCTGCAGCCCGGTGTTCGCCAGGGGTGAGATGCTGGTCGGCTGCATGTGTTGTCACCTCGCGGCATTTCATGCGTGGCGCGGTGACACGCGGAGGGCCCGAGGTGTTCGGTGGTCGCTGGCCAATCTGTTCTCGCCCCGTTCGATCCACGATTCGCGCTAGGCTGACCCGTACAGCTGGTGCAGATCATTATGCCGTTGACTGTATTGCAGCGTGGTCGCCCTCAGAGCATGACACCTTACCACCCCTCAGGTGGAAAGGGCATGGCAGGAATGGAGGGCGGCATCCGCGTGCCCACCCTGCTGCGCTACCCGCCGCTGGCTCGGCCCGGCTCCACCATCGACGCGCCGGTGTCGCAGATGGACCTCTTCCCGACCGTGCTCAGCGTAGCTGGCGTGGACGCTAAGGTAGCGCGCCGCCGCGTGGACGCGGGGCGCCTCGACTCGCCTCCAGACTCTGTGTAACACGTCACGGTCCCGGGCCGCGTTTTAGGCATGTACGCTGTATCGATGGCCGGCCATGCGCTGGCCATGAGCGGCGCGTCGGGTCAGCCGCGCGAGCCGACTGCCGTGGGGATCACTCGTGCCAGACACGTGCTGAGTCGGACGGCCAAAGCACAGCATCCCCGCCTCTGTGATGGCCGGTTCACGGTTGCAGCGTAGCCGTACCGTGGCCGTCCTCCACGCGATCCCTGTTTGTTGCAGACCTATGTGGGAGACCGGGTGTTGGACGGTCGTGACCTGACCCAGCTGATCACAGGCCAGTCCAGTCGGTCGCCGCACGAGGTCATGTTCCACTACTGCAGTGAAGCCATCCACGCCCTGCGCTGGGTAGAGAACGGTGAGAATGGCAACTGAGCGTCCGTTTGTCCACCTTCGAGCGTGGAACAACGTTTCGCGTGGGCTTTGTGCGTTCCGAACCGCAGAGCAAACGACTCACCAGTCATGCTACTGTGGCCAGTCACGTGATCCGAGCACGGTCTCCGCACCTGGGTGCCGGCAGTGCAGTGGTTAACGCGTCTGCGTTAACCATTGACTTAGGCCTGATAGTCTGGCACATTGGCATGGAACTGGTGGACGCTGGCCGTGCGGTTGGACGCTGGTTGGTCTGTGAAGGATGAACTCAAATTGATAGCAATGCCCGTCCAAAACGCGGCAGGTTGGAGTGAAATGACGCATTTTGTCTTCGCCAGAGAACACCACGTGGAAGGTGCACTTCTACCAGCCCCAGTGGCTGCCGGGGACGGCGGTATGCCACGATATCTGCTTGTGCGATATGTCGGACCGGCTGGGGCGGCCGCACATCTTCAACATCCAAACGGACGCGAGCGAGCAGCGGCCGCTGGACGAGAACAGCGCCGAGTACGGCCGCGTGCTGGCCGCTAGCCGGCGCGCGGCAGCCCAGCACGCGGCCACGCTCGTCGACCTACCGGAGAGCCAATTCAGCTATGGGAACTTCATGTGGCGGCCGAGTCTGCAGCCCTGCTGTCGGCCGCCCTGGTGCACCTGCACCGACCCGCGCTACCCGTAGTCGCCGTCGGCCGGCGGACGTGCCGACTGGAGCCGCAGACCAGGGCGGCCGCCGCGCCTCCTCCGGTGCGCGGGGTCAGCTTCAGCCGCGTCAACGGTGACGTTGCTGGTCCGTCTCCGGGCCCGCCGGCTGTCAGCTGACGTCACCGCTGACGTTGCTGGTCCATCGCCGGGCCCGCCGGCTGTCAGCTGACGTCACCGCTGACGTTGCTGGTCCATCGCCGGGCCCACCGGCTGTCAGCTGACGTCGCAGGCCCCGGTAGCGGCTCTCCGTTTCTGCTTGATTGCCGCTTCCGACGTGGAAAGAGACGCGGAAAGGAAATGGTCTTTCCGTCCATTCTCCAACCGTTTTAGGTCGCGGTTGACGATTTTAGCCTCGGGTACGTCTAGGACGCGTGTATAATGGGCGGAATATGTACGACGCGTATCTTAATATGTGCTCTACTTATGTACTCGAGTTCTGTACTGCACAGAATGTTTTGGCTGACGAAGAGCTTCATTTTGTAGTGAGGCTTTTGGAATCATTGATAGGGGCGGGTGGATTACCCACATATATAATTATAGCCCACACACAATTAAACCCACACACATGATATTGATCAGTATTACCTCGACTACTTACGGTGTGTGCGCGAGATGCGTCACGTCGAAAATGATATTATCAACGTTAGCTCCTCCGCGTTTGGCAGGTGTGAAATGACGCGTTTTCCCATCACATTGATTTTTCATGTCCGAATTTTATGAAATGCATGGCTGTGCATCCCGGGGCCAATGATCCAGTGGAAGTGATCGGTTGCAAGTAAGTTACAGCTTGGATTTGTTTGAAATAATGCGCGCTTAACCGCTTACGTAATGTCTAGTCAGCTATGTGCAACCCAACGATGGCGGGGCGCCGCGCTGTGAGAGATCACTGGGCTTCCAGACGCACTGAGTCCAATAGCGGATGTAACCAACCAGCTAAATGTGCCGGTTTTGTGATCGAGTTGTGAAATACATGAACAGGGGTATGACTGGCAGACCCGGAACTGCGTTGAAGAGGAACATAGCAATAAACCAGCTGTGCTGTTTAAGGGAAACATGGCACGCAGCCCACCTTCGCTGTAAAATATTGGTATTGAAGTAGCACTTTATTTTAGCTTGCGCGCCGACTGTGGTCCGCACTCCGCAGTCCCGCTGGCTTATTCCTGCCGGGGCGAATGGCGGGTTCTCACACCCGCTGGTAACATTGGATTGGAAGTGGCTGGAGAGACGAGTGAAATGTTCAGTAGCGAATGCAAAGCTAAACACCATTTACTGGCCCGTTTTCGTGTATAGGGTAGAATAGAGGTTATATGCTTGCCTGTCTAACAAATGATGTGGATAAAAAACTATCCGTGATGCCTACAATAACAGGGTATTTGACAAACGTTAACATAGCCATTCAGGCCATTGGTTTTCCTTTGAACGAAGAAGTGTTTGCCATACAGAGCTGTTCCTTTTATTATGGCAGCAGCGATGGATGGTGTTGGAACCAATTTGAACAAAACCTCAACTTCAATTTCGACTGGGCCAGTGCCCTACATAGGCCTTCCTGGGATAATGACAGTCATGCTTGACGTCGTGGGTTTCGATTTCGATGAAAACAGGGTAGACAGTCCAGGCACGGGAGCGTAGAATCTAACACCTATTTAACAAAATCTATTTCTACAGCCATCGCGTCACCTGTCACGCCCAGTTCCACGCCAAATAACTGGAACTCCATATCACCCAAAAGCTACAGGTCGCTTTGGAAATTTTAAGGAGTGAATCTCCGAAACGGCAATCAAAATTAAATCTCACAGAGTCAAAAGCAAATCAGGCAGCGCTCAGATGAACATGCTAATTGTTTTGCAGGTAGATTGTTCGCTGTGCCCCCGGTTCCCTTCTTAAACGGCAGCTGCCTTTTGTCAAGGCGTGCAAAGTTTTTGCATGTGGATATGGGCAGCCAAAGAATAATTATAGTGGTAGCAGCGCGTTTGCAGAGAGCGCGGATGCACTGCACCCACACGGGCACGAAAATGCACGCACAATATTTTATGATTTATCAGACGAAAACTGAATAAATTCAGACGCAGGGCTAAGAACCACTGATCAATATGGTGGGGGTGGAAAAAGCGTGCGTAGTGGAGACAATTTTTTCAGGACCACTGACACATGACTTTGCATAGTGGCCTTTTCCTTCCGACCCTCGGGTTACTCGAGAGTAGGATGGTGGGGGTTCAATGGGTCAAATGAAATAAAGTGAGAGGAGTTTAGTGGGTGCTGGTTGGTGGTTTCGGAGGCAAACGCCACCTCTGAGCGCCATTCAAATGTTTGTAGTGAGCATGGTTTGTCAACGAGTTCTTTCTGGTCATTGGAAACATCTATTTGGAGCAAGGGGCCAACAGAACATGTGGTATACATCATAACGACAAAGCTATGTTTCCATGCTTATGGTATGGTGGGACCCGGGCCCTCTCCATCACAACGCTTCAGAACTTGTGTATGTGCCTCTACAGCTAGTCTTCCAATGAGTGATCATGCTTCTATTTGACCCTAGCTATTTAGATGTGAGAGCATGCTAATGGTTTAATGAAGCAAGCGATTCGCATAAATGTATGTGCTGGATGGACGACCAAATATCAGTGCATACATCTTCAGCAAACGGTCGGCCAGGGAAAACTGAGATGGCCTCGCAGTAAAGCCGCTACTGGCGCGAACCGCAACGCGCATCTGCGTAAAAACAGCTGTGACAGTTACATTCGCAACACGGCAAGAACCAAACAATAGTACTGATACGTTGCATGGTACGAAACGGACCAAAGCTGTCTGCCATCCCCCCCCCCCCCTCCCAAGAGTTTTGAGTTCCTTTTTTCTATCTCTCGTGCGGTTGTGGGACCCTCCTTCAGTGCCTGAAATCAGCATCGGTGGGAAATGCGGTGGCTTGTTCAAAAAATATATTGCGATGCATTACAAGGGCATTGCAGATAAAACATTTAACACTTTGCGACCACTTTGACCCGGCTCATAAGCTGACAAGCTCGGCCGACCAATGAGTGGCAGATGAATTACCCAAGTAACCTGAAGGGTCACAACACAGGTCGTAATTGGTTTACACGGCAGAGGAGATGGCATGCTGTATGGTTTGAAACACGCACACACACACACACTTCGAACCGAACTGTCGCAAAAATGTGCCTCATTATTCACTCGCTGACCACGTTCCGGATAATGCATAACATATTTCAAATTTACACTCGCATCTCCACCAAATGATATATCCTCGCGAGCAAAACAATCAAGAAACGCCGTTTCCTGACTGCCCTTCACGATTCACCTTTACACATGTATTGGTCGCTATCTGGACTTCAGAATGAGCCATATCACCAAGAAAACGAACAACGAAAAGAGGAAAAGGTAGAAGATATATCGATTATGCCCCGAGCGCGCCATCCGCATTACTCGCTTCATCGAGTTGCCAAGAAGACCGCCAGCCGAGTCGAACTCGTCATCCTGCAAGCAAACATTGGACTTATGAACATGCCAAACGAACACATATGGCTCGGGTAGCTGACGGCTGTCATAATAAAAAACGGTCGGCTTAATAATAATAACTTACAATATCTGTAATTGAAATGCCACCAATGGCGACATATACCCGGTTGAATTGAAATTATTCACTATTATCAGCAAGTACCTGAATACACCCCAGAGAAAATAATTTTCGGGAAAAAGGGCCATTTGGAATCGTTTGCGATCTCGCTTCGCAGATTATGGTGGCAAAAGTACGACGAATAATGTAAAAACAGCAACATCAGCGACGGTTTCCATTATATGAAAAAACATACATTTGCAATCAATGTATCTTTACGCCTACCACTGGGTGCAGCAACCTTCATTCCTACTACTTGTGTTCAATGTCCTCTACGTCAGGACAATTTTACCAGCAGGGACTTTGAACTATGTTGGCACGGTCTCAATTAACTTGCCGTCACAACTTATTTTTAACAGAATTTTGGTATTCACGTTAAGTGAGACAAGTGGGACACAAGCAGAGTTGCTGGGGAGGGGTGGGTGAGACAACTCCATAAATGTACGCGGAAATTATGCGTTAGAACGTATGCATACAAACAAAATGTGCGGCTTTTCTACTCCTGTTACATACCTGGCCGCCAGTCACGGCCTAGTTTTCATCCTCCATACCGGTTCAGTTGGAGATCGAGACCCCATTACACAGAATGTTGTTTCTTTTATTGCGGATTACGGTGCTTCGCAAGCGTCGCGTCCATTATGAGACCAGACAACAATAGACCAGACAACAATAGACTAGACAACAATAGACCAGACAACAATAGACCCGACAGCAATAGACCAGACAGCAATAGACCAGACAACAATATTTGAATTTCGAAATCACGTCTACGGACTTGCACACGTCATTCATTCATCTAAGCATACAAGTGAAAGCCTGTGGACGAAACCATCTGGCACCGCACCTCCTAGTTCAAAACGGCTCTATGTCTTCTAGCCAGAGAGAAACGCATCTCCCACCCTGATGCACATCACTGGAAATCATTTGACAAAGCAACATATTCTATGTGCTTCTCTGCATGATATCGGTCAAATGCCCTCTCAACGCAATATGTCCTGTAGCAAAGATTTCCAAGAGTGCCTATGCCTGTCTAATTAGTGGTAACGAGATTTTTATAAGCTGAGCCGTTTTTGTTTTTACTATATCACAGGGTGTTTTCAGTCTAAGTGTAAAGTTACAGCATACTCGACTGGATCATACGGTCCGTCTTCTTTTGACACCCTTTTCGCCTAACACGGGCCTATTGAGAGACGGCCGCCACGTGCAAGTCCCTTCATCAGGGCGACGCTGCGATCACTGAAGCCACGTTCAACGGCTAAGGGTAGGAAGTGCCGCGTCCCAGGCGTTCGGGATTGCGCTTGTACGTAAATTTTCGTATCCGCAATGTTATCCCCGTGTGGCGAAGATTACTAGAAGACAACCTGTTTGATAGGCTCAATCCCTTTAAAAGCCTCCTGGGCAAAGTTAGTAGGCAAAGCTCCGGCAGGACCAATCAACTATTAAAGTAGTGCCAACTGAAACAGCGCCGATTGGACCGCGTGGTGCTTGGAGGAAGATACCCGACGAGCCGGCAATGGGCGCATTTTCGAACGCCGTCCGCTTGTACGATGACAGCTAATCAACGCCAAGAACTGTTCCTGAGAGGCATGTACGCGTCCAGCACTACGGGCGTATGGCAGCAGACTTACCATATCTTTCAGCATCTGGTTCTGGTACCGGACCTCAGTTCCAATGTCGATGGTGAGCTGGAACATGTCATGAAAAAGAACACTGATCATGATGATTTGGGCTCCAGGGCGCGCCAACTGCATTTGTGATATGGTGCTCACTACAATCACAGGGGACCTGTCTTAAAACTAAAGCGGGCGGCAATGAGCCTTCCCATATCACATTCGTCCACAACACTGTAAACCTAGCACAAAAATAAGGATGGGCCAAACATTTGTGTTCGAAGTTAAAACCATCTGACACTGAAGGTGACATCGACCGAGAACAAAGGATAAGTTTTCACCAGTATAACGGCCATCGGTGTCGAGTTATCGAAACCGCGTTTTACAGCGGGCAATCCGCAATATGCCAGGCCAAATAACTGTTATAGCATTCCCTTGCCTGACAAGACCGTGCAGCGCTCAGTCCATCCCATGCATCCCAACATCATTTACGTACTCAGTGGCTCACACATCTAGGTTTCAAGGTCAATTAAGTAGTCGTGCGTCAACAAGCGTCGGTGCTGTGATGGTAACGCACGATGCGCCGTGATCGCCACACTGCGGAGTGTGGCGATGGTGCAGGCGGTTATTCTTTTATTAACTGCCTGTGCGATTTTCTGCAGTAACTCTTTCGGTGGGTGGAATTGGTACCAAATGGATTTTCGTATCTACGACAGAAGACAATTCAAATCGCCGAGAGCATTTCCAGCAATTACGTGTTCTTCTGTCCATGTTTTTTTATGGCATGGGGGG